TTTAATGTTGTGTTCTGTAAGGTTTTGAAAATAATTTATCTAACCAAGGGATAAAACATAAGTTAAATAGATTAATTGATAGAAGCCTTAATTCTTCTAAACCATGCTGTAAAGCAAAGCCTATTCATAAAAAGCGTATTATTAATAGTAATTTCGAAGGTTGTATTAACTTAAAATTAGATCAGAGGTAAGGAAACGCTTTGAAAACTGGCTAACACACAAAGAACTGGGCTAAATACATACCAAGTTTTTTAACAAGCTAGTCTCAAGCAAGTATGAAATTCCGAAATAATAACTTGTTATGAAATGGGTCAAATCATTTGATAATTAGGTGTATAAAAAGGATTATGCATTAAGCAGCGTTATCCGTAAAATAAAATGTCCATTTATATATATATATATAATCCAAATTTAAATATGGTAAACGTGTTAAGATTATGGATAAACTGACCTATCACTGGTAAATACCTTCAGCACTTTGGCGCGTGAGGAGAATAGCTCGTAATTGGCAATATGAATGGTACGCAGTTGTACAGGTTCGCATGTCTCAATAACGAACCTGTCAAAGAGAATTTCGAAAGCAAACGAAAGTCGAAATAAAATTATAGCAAAAGGTGAAGACTGATATAATTCAACCTATAAATTGAAGCTAAAATAAAAAATGGAAAGTGTGAAATCATGCATTTTTCTTAAAAACTTTAGGTAGAATGAAAATGATACCAAGTGTCCAAAATTTGGTTTTGCTGAATCAAGTTGGCATGAACTAGTTCAATATGCCATGAAATAAAGAAATCATGGATTAATTATTCTGAATAAGGCATCATTCCTAAAAATCACTTCAAATAAAATTAGTTTCAAGCGAAGTCACGAAATTGTAATATGCTATGCTTGCTAGTAGACTGACAATAAGAGAACGGCACTATTTTTTGATGGAATTATAAATCTATTGGAAAAGAACTTTCATAATCCTTTAGGCATTCTGTAGTCATATTAGAAGGGTTGAGCATAGGGCTTAGAAGGTGATTCCAAGAACGGAAGTCTCCGTGGAACTAGAATTGCCTACTCATCAATTATATATTCAGAGTTAAAAATTAATAAATAAAGACATTGCAGATTTACTAAAATCTATATTGGATAGGCTTTAAGCATAACTAACCATTTATTGGCGATGCAAGGAATGTTCAAATATTCATCCTGATTCGAGTTAAGCACCGCCTCGGGATTCTTGGTCTTTGGACTAGCAGCTAAAAGCTTAGCTCCGCATTCAATAGCAGCGACATTCCGCTTCACAGTAACCTGGATTGAAGGTCGCGATTCAACTTGAGTTGAATCAGCAGAATGGCCATCACTAGCTAATGAGCCAGTAGATGACGAAATAGCGCTATTCAAAATTATATCTTCTTGAGACGGGGGAACAAGACCCGCAGTAGCAGAGGAATCAGAAGGCGAACTACTCAAATCACCTACCACAGGACCTCCAGAAACCAAGACACCAGAATGAGGCGGCGTCCCAAAATCTACCGTTTTAGAAGCATCTCCGAGAGCGTCCGCAATAAATCCAGTAGGGCGGTCTGATGGTAAGAGACTAGGTGATACACGGTCGGATGCTGGGAATGTGCCATGAAGGGAAGCTGGATGAGGAGTAATCAAATGATCTGAGTTGCCAGAAGGGATTTGCTGCAATAGGAAACGTGTTAGATTAAATGTTCTAGTTAAAACGCCATAGTTATTACTCAGAAATATATTTTAAACACTTTTAGTAGTAGTATAAAAAAATAACAATATTAAAAAAATAAAAGACACGAGGATGAGGTAGCCTTAAATGTCTTGGGTTTTGGAGTGATTGCTAAAGATATAAGCCTTGGAGCGCTATTGTAACGCATTATACATCATGACAGGCATAATTCTAAATTAAAAGTCGAGGATTGTGTACACCAACTCGAAGAAAAAACGCACCAAACATTAAGTCAGGATTTTTACTAAAGTTCATGGTACTCAGGTTGATCCGGTGAGTTCAATTGGTAAAAGATTAAACGGACAAACATTAAAAAATTAAATCTAGTCTCCATATGCAAATTATTCCCCATACATTTTCTACGAAATAAAGATTCTATCCTGACTCTAGTTATAATTTTGGCGTAGATTCCTGTATGTTTATATAAGACAAACAAGGATCGATCGATAATGATATTCTCATCCGGCCTGCAAGATAAGCTTGATGTACTCCTGATTTGCGACACTACCAATTGATAGGGTAAAATGAATATAAAGCCAATGGATATCTGCGTAAGAGTATGAAATATCGTTTGTGATTGCCAATGTTATCACCTTCTTGATTAACATTGTTAAGCAGTGACACAATAAATAAACTTAATGTTACAATAATATATTGACGAGTTATGCGTATCATTAACAAAAGAACTCACCCCATTCGAGTGTGACATTGGTATAGAGCTATGCTCTACATCTAGAGGAACAGTAGGTTCAGAGGCCGTATCTGAAAATACTTGGGGTGAGGCAGATCTTAGATTGGTAGCCAGGTCTGGAGGAGAAATACCCTCTAACTTATGATGACCCAGCCGGTCGATCTGCCGGACTGTATTATCACCTTGCCCAGTTATTTCTGCGTTATATTCCATTAGGGGTTCACTCGAGCCAGACTCCTGTCCATTGACCAATTGACCAACTCCCGAGCGTTGAAGGCGAATACCATTTCGATGAAACGTTGCTTCGGAATCATGGGAAGATAAACGGATTGGTTCATTAGATTGAAATATATGCGGTGCACCGTCCTGTTTAAGCACAAAGGCTGGTCCAGTTGCTTGATCTTCTGTAAGTACAAGTACGTATATAAACCTTAAATATTTGAAAGCATGCAAGCGAGAACACAAAATTAAGCTTGAAAATCTGTCAATATAAGTGGAATAAAGAGATATATCAACGAAGTTGGAGAAACAAGATGCGAGTGAATTTAGTGGTAGTTCGACCTCGTTTAGGCAATTCGGTCGAAGCGTCAGGGAGACCTTGTAGAACCTACCTAGTCTTGTGCCTTCTGCCAGAGTATTGATGATTTCCAGCATCGGACCATCGACTTGATACATTCCAAAACGTTTGGCCGGTATTGCCAGATAGAGGCACCATATGTAGCACAGTTACAACTTATCAAAGTAGCAAGTGAAGGCAAGCCCCTTGACCAATCGAAAAGAGACAGCAGGTAAAAATGAAAACGAATATAGAATGACGAATCTTACAGTCCAGATAAGAGATAAAGATAAAGAATGAAATCTGTCTTCCGTCCCTCTTTACCTCAAAACCACGGCAATCCTGAAAGAAGGAATATGTTTGGCACTTCGAAGTGAAAGGAAGGCAATCAAGGACATTTTAGTAAAAGTGATAAATATCTCTGAGAAGCTGCCGGAAGAACCAAAAAGAATTGAAATGGAAATCATCCAACCGATCTTGCCGCACCAAGAGCCCACTGAAAGTAACAATATAGTCAAGATTTATAGAGAATTGAAAAGAAACGATCAAATAGTTCCACAAGCCGATAAAGGAGGTGCCACAGTGGTGATGGACAGTAAGGAATATACAGAAAAAATAGAAAATGTTATTGGGGAAACTACAACTTATTGACCGCTGACAAAAGACCCAAAAGTTAAAGCCCAAAGGGCAATGCACGAACTGCTGAAGGAAATAAATAGGAACGAAGAAATCAACAAATAAACAATGAATTTACTCATACGAAAGGACGCAAGAGCCCTTGTAGCCTAAGGTTTGGCAAAGGAGAACCATTAAAACTGATAGTCAGCAACAAACATGAATCAACACATAAACTGGCGAAATTTGTCTTAATTAGAGAAAGTGAATGAAAGATTATCAATACAGTGAATAATTCAAATAAATTTTGTCAAAGAATCAAAGACACCGGTTCGGAGGGCCTACATCCCAATCTAGTCGAATGGAAAAGCAGAATTAGACGATATCCTGACTTTTAAACGACATGGATGGAAAAATCAAATTTGCAATAGACTTGGAAGAGAAGAGACACTTACAGTTCTTAGATCTGAAAGTCATTCGCACCGGGGAGCCTCTCAAGAAACGACTCTCCCGAAAGAAACAACATGCTGAAATAATCCTTAACCTCCAGTATAACCGTACTTATGGAATGAAGATTGGAATACTTGGAAGTATGGCCATAAGAAGCCTACAACTTACGAATACTGAGTAGTAGGAAAAAGTGGAAAAACTAATTCAGATATTTCTTGAAAACGGATATCCAGAAGAGGTAATACAACGCAAGATGCGGATCGTGATGAGCAAATGGAAGGACGGAAATTATAAAAGGAAAGCGAGGGAAACAGAAAAAAAACTATGGATATTTCTACCATCATGCGAATTAGCTCGGAAGCTGCGGCCGATGCAATGTAAATGGAACATTTGTACAATTCTAAAGAAAAGAACAACCCTCTTCACTAGCTTACCGACCCAACATCGAGTCAACATAATTAAGCACCGGGAGCTTATAGCATAAACTGCATAAGCATCGGATAGACAGAAAGGACAATCCGCATACAGATCAAATAACACCAACAACTACGCAGGAAAATGGATAAGGAAAGATTGGATATAGCTGAACACAGCGCTCTTACTGGGTACCCAAGTGACTAGAATGCAACAGAAAAACTGGCCTCATATGGAGAGAAAAGCAGAAAACGGAAGATCAGGGAGGCTGTTGACATCCTCTTTCAAAGAAAACTGACCAACAAGAGATTGGAAGAGGGAAAAGTCAGCCACAATTTCGCGTACTGCTTTGGCAGACTTGGAGATGCAGGGAGGACAGCAAATTGAAGACGTTTTGACCAAATACAACTAATCAATAACAGAAAGAGATATCGCTAAGTTCGGGATCATGACGGACAGAGGAAAGAGAAGATAAGGCGATCTCAGTGAGAGGAGTCAAATATAGAATCAGCCTAAAAATTTACAGGTTGGATGTGGGATAGGAGACAAAATGCCAGAAGCAGGCAGATTATGCTTCATTAAAGGTGCTAAGCTAAAGGTACGGGTGTGTCAGATATAGGTCCCCAGTGTTCGTAGGTGTGTGCATTTTTTTCGGGTATGCCGTTTAATTAGAGGTTACTTATGACATGTCAAAGGAGGGACACCTAGCAACGTATGCGTTAACAAATGACTAGTGTCCTAGGCTTAGATAACCGTCAACATCAGAGACAAGAGTCCGCTTCACGTGATTCAGGAGTAGAAGAGAGGGCAATAGATCTTCACAGCGGCGTTTCCAAATTAGGCAGGACACAAGGCCCCAGAAAATGATATATAATGGGAGTGGGGATGAGAAAGAGGATAACTAGATGATGAGTCTGAAGCATAGGAAAAGGAAGATGCATAAGCATGGACATCACCGGCGATAAATCCTCGAGTATGACGTAAACGGGGACGATAATTTAAGGCGCTTAGGTAGTCAGACAGTGGTTTTAATGTGTAGAAACGACAAATTAAAAGCGGAGTGTAAGGGGGGCTGAATGAAGGTCAGGAGCCCTGTAAACGGCACCTGGAACCGGCGATGAAGATAATTACACTTCACTATATCCACTGGAAGCGAACCACATTAAGGCGACATTATGGAAAATAAGAGCACATGATGATATGAATAGGTAGATTGGCCATATGAATTGGGGTTTAGAGATCACAACACAAGAGACTAGGACATAAAATAGGGACGAGAAGTGACGCTGCAACGGTTGAACATAAAATTAGTCAATAGATTGCCTTCAATTGTCACCTTGAGAAGTTGTAACTCAGTGCTAACGATAGCGCCTCTCAGTGACGAAGCGTTTAGGAATGTACCAAGTCGATGCTGGAAATCACGAATACTATGGCAAAGGACACACGATTATGTACGTTTTACAAGGGCTCCCTGAATCTCAGACCAATTTGCGAAAACGAGTTCAAACCAAGACTATACAGCTAAAGGAGACTACGACCAAACCAGTCCGCATCATTTTGATTTTCATAACTACGATCTAAGTGAATTTAGTCTAGTGAAAGAGAATGAGATATTTTAAAGTAGAATGATTCATATTCAAACGTTGCGTCCGTATAGCGAAACCTCAGTATAGGCTGTCGCCCAAAAATAATTTTATAATTAATAGAATATGGTAATTAAAAATATAGAATGAATTTTTAGGAAAGATAACATTCAGTAACTCGCAAAAAGCCAAACTATATACAAATACATCAAAAGTGTATATCACATGCAAAAACTTTTGTATTAACAACCCACCTAGCTTTCGTTTCTGCTGGCTGGCCAGCGAAATAACTGAGGCACGATATTCGTTGAATGTGAGAATAGCATCGATTTGATTGGCGGCTGCTTCAACGTTAATTGCCGATAGCTTGGCAGATGTATCCAATTCAATGTGATTATCCTTTGAAACAAAAGGTGGGGCGAAAGTCTCCTCATTTCCTTCCATAGAGTAAGACTTCTTGATAAATCCTTCCTCTGGAAGTTGCTCATCCCTGCTGCAAAATATATCCTGTGAGGAAAAACGGCGAATGCGGTAACAACTTAATACAACAAGCAATGTTGTCTAAGAGTAAACAAACTTGACAAGCCTGTAACACAAATAACCATATTAAGCATGGATAGTAAACAAAAATGCAAGAAGTTAAAGCCTTTACATATCCCTTAAGAATGTAGATAACTTATTTAAACTGTTCAAAATCGCAAAAATGATAAGTTCGAGCAACAATTCGTATAATTCTTAGCAAAATACAATA